TTTTATTAGTGTGTTGCTGTGACTGGTTTCGCTGAGTTATCAGGAATATAAATAAAGGCAGCTTGAACAGATTTGTGGCTTAATGCCGGTGTGGGTTTTCCGGGGGTCCGTTACCATCCTATTGTGTCTCTTGGTGTGCTCCAGCAGGAAGTTTGGCACGGAGCTTCTGCGGCTTCCTTCCTTGATTGACAGCAGGCCCTTTGGACCTCAGGCAGGATGCGTGCTGGGTGACTCTTGTTCTCGCGATCATTATTTTGGAAATGCGGCTTTTCCGACTCAGATTTTCCATTAAAAAGTGGTAGTGCGCCACCTCATGTGTTTTTCAAGTCTGGAGGTGAATTCTCAGTGAATTAGTTTTTTTTTTGCTTTGTTGGGAATGTACTTCAGACGCTTCACCTCTTCATAACATCAGTTCACGTGGTGACCTTGCAATGAAAATCAAGTTGTCTTTTGTGTTTTTTGCTCCCGTTTTCAGTCGTGTTGTGCAAGTGTTTTGCCAAATTCTTATTTTCTAACCATAGCTCCCAAGAAAATGATTGTTGAGATGTAAATCCAGTCACAGAGTCTTTTGTGAGAAATCTCAATTCCCGGATCGCATTCCTGTTGAGCGGATGAACTTTATTAACCTTTCACAAGTACATATAATGAGGTTATTGTTGCTAGCAGCCCAACAGCGGAGAGGCCGGCATTTGAACAGGGGTGTGTAGACTTTTTAGCGCCACTGTAATCCTTTTCCGTCGCCAGTCCCTCTCTTTGGATTGACCTCCCGCTGAATGTTTGGCGAGCCCCCTCGCTGCTCATCTTAAAACTCATTTTGTCTCAGGATGAGACTTGCGTTTAACTGTTTTTGTGCTTCCTGCTGTATTCATTGTTAATTCATTGTTGTTGTATGAATTATTTTTGCTCCGTGTACATCACTTTGTACACAGCAGTGGTTATTTTAAAGCGCTCTAGAAATACAGTTGAGTTGTCATCACCCCTCGTCTTTGCTATCGCTTGTACTGTCACTCCAATTTCGCCATCGGGTTTGAACTCCCAAGATCTGATTGCCTTTTGATGCAGATTTTTTTTCCCGACCTCTCCCCAGGTGACAGAAGTGTGCGGTGCAAAGAGCCTGGGCTACTTTGGCACCGCTCAGTTCTACGTGGCCCTCAAGCTGCTCGCCGCCGCCCAGGCCGGCCTGCCCGTCCGCCTGCAGAGCACATCGGCCAGTAAGTCTCCAGAGGAGATCAAGAGATTATTTTCAACCTGACGGGATTGCGGTGTAATCTGGAGGCGACGCAGGTCATGCGTGGGAAGAGCTCGGCCTCGTGCTGACGGCCATCAGCAATCGGTTAACATCTTTTGCTCACTCAACACTTAAACGTCGCATTTATGTCATTTTTAAGCGATGCGTGGTTAAAAATAAGTACAAGGCAGCGTGTAAATGTTGGCGGGCAAGTCACTGTGAAGCACCTTTTCGCATATGGTACTAATGTTTTGGGAAGTGCGTGGCATTGTGGGATGTGGCGGCCATTTTGGGTCAGCGGTTTCCATGGTGAACGTTCGTAAACAAGGATGAGTGCGTCGCGCAGCGTGAAAGATGACGTTCAAATGCAGGGAGCCTCACGTTCTTTTTACGTGTCTTTGGGTGCACCGATGTTAACATATTTTTTAAATCTATAATTGTTACAACAGTACACATGGTATATCTCTCCAAACCAAACTGTACAGCAAGATCACAGACACAAAGGCCGTTCATGTTTAGCTGTTACTTCTTTGTCTTTTTTTTTTTCAACTGCACTACGATGAGGCCTCCTAAAAACACGTCTCGATTGCAGATCTACCTCTGCCCAGATTTGTGGGGATCACGACGGAGCCAGAGATGAGATACGTCGCCAACACGCCCGGCGGCACGAAGGCCCAGTGCGACAGGAGCCGATATTTGGAGCAGAAGGTAATCTGGTTTTCCCGCCGCACGTCCTTATACTCACTTCTCATTTCATGTACTTTCATGTCAACCATATCGGATATCACACATTTACTTTTGGCCTTGCATAGCCGTCCATAGAGCGGTGCTGTTTGTCATGTCACTCCCAGCAAGTCGGCCAATCAACACTTTGAGAATGAAGATAAAAAGAGACATTCCGCACCGCCAAAAACATTAAAGCAGAAAGTGCCTCCATTCTGGGAGATTAGCGGAGGACAAAATGTTCCACTAATGAAGCGTGAAGACACGTTGCGGCAACTGCGCACGGACAAAACGAACATGACGCAAACTGTTTGAAAAGTGGAATAGACTTTTCACCACGACGTCACACGAGGAGAAAGAGCCTTCCACTCATAAACAAACAAACTTCTGGCGTTTGACCGAGGCAGAGCGACTGAGAAAACAGTCTTGAATGCTCGTTTTTGTCATCATTTTTAGTTCAGGTCTGCAATGTGTTTCGTCTCCCGTTTCGAAAGGAGCCGCCACCGCCGCTGCCTGGCAGCTCGCCGCCTTGCTCCCCGCTGGCGTACCACACCCACCAGTACACCACGCCAAAGGAAAGACAGATGGCCGAATCGCACATGGGTATGCCGTAGTTCTCGTAAACAGCTCGAGCTTTGAGTCCAGAATATTCTGGGGGTTTAGCCTCCAATTTGGACGCTGCACTGAATCGCTCAATCAATGTCAACTGTAGAGAAGGGGGACCAGCGGGAGTGTGACGATGACGACATCTGGAGGATCACAGAGGAACAGCGGGAGTATTACACCAATCAGTTTAAAAGTCTGCAGCCTGACCTGGGGGCTCTAATTCTGGGTATAACGACACCCCCCACCCACAACCCCCAAATTTACTTTTTACATATTATCCATACAATATTCACTTAAACGTAACCTTTTGTTTTCAGGTGCTGTTGCAAAGAACTTCTTCACAAAGTCCAAACTTCCCATACCGGAACTGTCACACATTTGGCAAGTGACACTTTTACTCTCTTTATTTATTCTATTGAGTGAAATTCAGTTAGAGACAGGTTTTAATTTAAAAAGGTGGTAAATTATTTGGACTAAAATGGGGAGGCTTTTGGAAGCTAAACATAGTACACTATGCTCTCTATTCAGCATGCTAACATGCTAAAATACATGTAGCTTGTGTTCCTACATCCTTGATCACAATAAAATGGACTAAAAGAGATTAGGGACATGACATCATCTCATTTTCGTCGTACCAACTCGTGGCAAAATACGTGAAGTTGTCAGCCGCTCAGGACTAGCTGCTAAGTTAGCCGAGACTGCTTAGATCACCATCATTTTCTCAACTGTGTTTTGTTTTCTTGTTGTTTACTGAGTCTTAGTTGGTATGCTTATGACAGTGACTCTTAAACTGAGTCATATTTTGGGCAATGTTACTTGGAATTGTCTTATTGGATGGTTTGAGCTCAGTTTATTAGCATGTTTTGTCTAAAGCAGTGATTCTCAAAGTGAGGGTCCCCCCCTAGTGGTCTGCTGAGGAATCATTGCCGCAGTACTGCTGAATTGTTTAATTTTTAAACTCAGTGTTTCTTTTATGGTTCTTTTTCTTCATTAAAAAATGATTCAGTTCCAGTTAAGATTTACTGTATTTCTTGTTTACAGTTTCTCAACCTTTTTCGAACTGTCGTTTCTCTCAGGGAGCTGAGCGATGTGGACCGGGACGGCGCTTTAACCTTCCCAGAGTTCTGCGCCGCCTTCCACTTGATTGTGGCCCGCAAGAACGGCTATCTTCTTCCCGAAAGCCTTCCCCTCGGCCTGCATCCCAAACTCGGACCACCAGATGAGGACGGCCCCCCTCAAGTATGTCAACACAAGTTTCATTCTACTCCCATTTGAATATAACTATGTGTAGTTAACACAACACATAGCTTTGCTTTAAATATGTTCGTTTAGCTTAATGCTAACAAACAATGCAAAATACTATGGACAGGCTCATGCTCAGCATCTGTGTAGTGGTGTGAACTCTTCAAGGATGGATATTCAAACACAAATGATGGAGCTATGCATGAATGTAGATATTTTAACCCGACTCACAGGCATATATTCTTTATCCTCTGTAAAGAAAATGACGCCATAGAGGTCGGTATGACCCCGGGCCTTGAGTTTGACCTTGAGAGGGTCACTGACGATTTGCTGACAAGATGTGTGGTGATGGTTTAAACTCACCATTTTATTTTATTTTTTCCTCAGCGTGCGCAGCTTCTGATCGTCTTTGACGATGGCGGAACAGGAGTTCGTAAGAAGGTATACCCACATGCACGACGTGTCCTTGAATGTACTGTGTCTCATTGATGCCTGCAGGGGGCGCCATTTACATTATCGGCTCACTCCCATTGACCATTGTGTCTCTTTGTAGAGATTCTCAGTGTGATAGGCGGTACGGAATTTGGCATGTTTTTTTTCTGTTTTGTTTTTTGACCATCAAATTTCAAACGTTGAGGTTTCATTTATTTATTCATTTATTTATTTTGTCACGGCACACTCCCTCTAGTAGTATGCGAACAATGCCGCATTAAAAAAATCGGCAGTACAGAAACTAAAGCTAATACTAACACTAATAAAAGCTAATCTAAACCTTTTTAGATTTAAAAAAACATCTAAATTCATAAAAAATGTACCTCTAAAAAGTAGTTCAAACTAACTGCATTCAGAAACAGAAGTCTAAAGGAAATAAAATCTAATAATAACGATTACAAATTTGTGATAACGCTGACATGTCGGTTGTAGGATCAGAACATCAAGTTCCCAACAAGTGTGGCTGGGGCCAAACAAGATTCCAAAGAAGAAGCCTTCAAAAAACAAGGTTTGTCCAATAACTATTCATTTGAAAATAAGAGCTACAGCCCTCCCCGGAGAGAAAAATTGCTGGATGACGAACGGCGATTCATTTTGCACCGGCGGGCTTTCATCTTGCCTGATGATTTTGCTGATCATTGTCATCCTGCAGAATGCACTTTCAGGGGCGTCGAGACATTAAAAGAAGGAGCCACTCTGCAATTTGCCACCTTTACCCACAGGCCAGGTAATTCAAATAAACGATTCATTCTGAATAATTTTTTAAAAAATCAACACTAAACGATTCATTATGAATAATTTTTAAAAAAATCAACACTAATCAACCACAACATCACATACAATGCTCATATTTTTTGGATGGATTATTGAATATTAAAAATAATGTTAAATGGATTAAAAATGATGAAACATCATTCACAAAATGTGAAGAGATGATGAGGACGTTTTTGTTGTCGTCGTGCTCTGAAAGCAAACGTGCTCCTCCCGACAGAGCCGTCCTCTCAGGACCTCGACCCGCAAAGCAACACGAAAACCCGACCAAGGTTTGGATGGCCGTGGGGAAAAAAAAAAAAAATGAATGGCAGGCGAACTGGTTGAGCTGCGGCGTCCGCTTCACTTGTGGCACGTCTGTCCCTTTGCAAGGTCCTACTCCAGCACTTCCATTGACGCCGCCATGAGGAAGGCAGAGGAGCCTCCCGCGCCACCGCCTCGACCCCAGAAGAAAAGCCACTCCAGAGCCTCCTCGTTGGACCTCAACAAGCTTTTCCAGCAGGGGGCGCCAGGTGCCTTTCACTCACGGCCACAACTGACCGATGATGACAGTGCTGGTGATACTGAGCGTGATTGTTTTCGTGGGTTTGGAAGGGGCGAAGAGTGGATGGTTGCTCCCTCCTCCAGCGCTGCCTCCCAGACCGTCCGCCTCGCAGGTTTGGAGTGGCAATTGAACAAGCTTTAGTTTCCCCTCAAATGTTGGTTGAATTCCAAATCATATGAACTCGGAAGTGTTTGGCTTCACCACTGTCTGTGATTTTTGTTTTTTTTTTCGTTTGATGTTTCTGTTGTCGTCTCGCAATGCCTGTTGAGTTTTGTCTCTTTGTCGTCTCAGGTTCCTCCGACCCAAGTACAGCAGCCCAACTTTGCAGACTTCAGTCGCTTCAGAAAAGAGGTGAGCGGACATCGGAGGTCTCTCAAAAGCGCCCATCCAAGCCATATTGTCAGCTCATTCATAATAATAATTTGGGAAGTACTCCTCGCCAGTAGTTGGCGCTGTAATAGCTCGGCCAATCATCATCCTCGTCAGAGAGAGATCAAACATCAAAAGTGCTCGCGGAATTGGAACTTTGTATGGGGTGAGTACCCAAAGAGTGAATACCGGCATCCCATCAAGTTAATTTTGTGTAAGAACAAAATAGGAGCCCTGATTAAATACATATGAAATTTTTCCAGACACATAACAGCAACAACAAAAAATTCAACCAAACAGCTTGACACTTTTTTTGTCAAAAAAGTGTATTTTTCCTTCATAGCGTTGACAGGTTCCTCGGAGAAGACGTGATTGATTGTCCGTCTCTGCTTTTTATCCCTCTCGTGGCACGTGGCGCTTTCCCGCTCTGCAGCGCGTGCAGCCCGGCAGGCCTCGACGCTCGTACGCTCGCCCCTGCGGGACAAAATCTCTCCGAGTCATATATGAAGTCACCGGGCTCTTGTGGAACCCGATCTGGCATCACAGAGGCTATTAGCGCCAGGGCTGCTGCTTCGCCGACCCTTTTTATTCCCCTTCATTAAAAACCCAGCGGGCTGGACTGTCCCGAATGGGCTAATAGCTGGTGTGTGTGTGTGTGTGTGTGTGTGTGTGTGCGTGTGTGTGTGTGTGTACTTTCAACTAAAATCAAGACATTGAAAGCGGCCCCTCAGAGAGTGGCAGTGGCGCATTATAGATGTTAAAAATAGCAGTCACCCCTCCCCTCCCCCACGTAAAATCTGTCGGATTTTTGAGCAGAGACATCCAAGGCACCAAACTGCACAACGTCAAAAAGTCAAACCAACTCAAGGTCTCGTTAGGAGTCATTGAGTCTTAGCTGAGAAACGGAGGTCAATGGACACGGATGCTCGCTTTCATTTTCTAAAAACACAGCCAAACTTTTCTTTCCTGAATTTCACGTGGCTCTCTCGATTCTATCTATTAGATTTATGACGTGGCGAACAATGTGTGTTGACTTCTTAGCAGTAAAGAAAACTGGGTTTGTTTCCCCCCCAAAAAATTAAGAAACAAAAAAAAAAAAAGAATAGTGTAATACAGGAGAAGAAATTTTGTATCAAAAAAAATTCAAGCATAGAAATTTAAATTAAATCGAATCTTTCAAAAAAGAAAGCTCCATCTATTCCTCAAGTTCCCTTTTTTTATTTCCCCCCCCCCGATTGTACAGTGAACTGCAGCGCCATGAGCCTGTTTAAGCCATCAGAATCACTGAGAAGCGCTTCAAGCGTGACGCCGCATTGAGGTCAGTTAACTCCTCAACACGAGCGTCTTCAATCCACCCAATCCCTCCCGATGAGAAGGAAACGGAGCCGACTTGAGCTCGCCAGAGCTAATCTCGCGATCGCTGATAAGAAATTCACGTGTAGGGGCGAGCGGAAGTATTTCACGGGCTCGTCGGTTGAGAATAAAGCGCTTAAAGGTGCCTATCAGGACCTTTTTCATCCTGTTCAGAATGACGCTGGGAGCTCTTCATCCGAAAGACCTTCCCTAAATGTACAGACAAGCGCCTGTCCTCATTAAGGTTTGCGGATGAGCTGGAGTCGACTCCTGGCTGAGTTTGGCCGAGGGCCGTGACATCGTACAAACTTGAGGGCGGCAGCACTCGTGAATAAAACCCCAACCTGTCATTTGACCGAGGCGGTGCCATTGAGTCTACAAGCCAAACAAGCTCAAATCATTTTTTTTTTTCTTTCTTTCTGCTCCACTGCCAAGGTTTGCATGTCTTAGGTGCCTAACTTGCATAGACGGGCCAAAAATTCAAATGTCATCCTCCCAATAATGAATCTTTCCCACCATGCTGAGCAGCAATCGTAAATAGTCTTTGCTAATTCTGTTTTATTGTTATCAGTCGTTCGTTTCCTGCCGTGTCATAAAAGTTGTGTGTGTGCGCTTTACTCATTATGATTGCGCAACGCATCAACCTTTTCTCAATATTGCTGCAGTTTAAAATAGGAAATGTAATGAGGCTGAATGTAGTTCCTTCACAAAAATTCTTGAGTAAAAGTTTAGTAAATTGAAATGAGTCTTGACAAAAAAAAAAGTATCACTGGGGTGCAGAAGTCGCTCACTTTTTGCCACCAAGAAGTGACCTGGTGTCTCTTATGAATGAGTAATATGAAAATGTCTGTCATTTGTGTCATTCAACCAAATTCTTATTCATTTCCTGGATTATTTTTATTTTATTTTTTTGGGATTGTGTTTTGCAGGAGGAGAGCAGTGTGAAACCGGAAGAACGCTGCCTATGCTCTCGATATAACCAAAGTACTGAAGACTTGTCCAATGCTTCCCAACAGGTTGAAAAATATGTCATAGCTCTACTTTGCGTCATGTGATATTATTATTATTTTTTTTTTTACTCTCGCCGTGACGTGTCTTGTGTGCCTTTTCAGGAGCTAAATCACAATCAAGCTCCGCAGAAGCCGGTCCGAAGGAAGTTCCGACCTGACAGCCAGAATGTGGAGTGCTTGCCGCCACCGACGGGTTCTTTTCTAAAATCCACTCAAAAGTTAGTCAATCACTATTTCATGCAGCAATATCCCCGCAAAAGCGGCACAGAAGAGGTGAAATATGTGCCTGGCTGTGACCGGTGACTTTACTACTTAAAACAGACAAAAAGCTGATGAAAATATGGAAAAAAATAGTTTTGAAACCTTGTCAAACGTTTGGCCAAAAAGTACTGCAGCCAAATTCACTTTAAAATGAAAAAAAATCTGAAGAGGCAAAAAAAAAAAAAAAAAAAAAAAACTTTAAAAAAAAAAAAAAAAAAAAAAAAAAAAAAAAAAAAATAAAAAAAAAAAAAAATAAAAAAAAATAAATAATCTCTAAAAAAAAAAAAAAAAAAAGAGGATTTTTTTTTTTTTTTTTATCACACATGCAAATATTTGTTGAAATTATATGTCAGGGTTTTTTTTTTTTTTTTTATCAGACATGCAAATATTTGTTGAAATTATATGTCAGGAACATCGGGCTGAAACGTCATGTCACAATTTGGTAAATTTCGTGTTTTTTCCCCACAAATCTACACGATTGGACAGGCCCCACAGGGTGTTATTTTATGTATTTATTTATTTTTCAAATTATTGTGTCGAAAATGGCTTGCTTTGTTTGACGGCGGTGAAACAAACTTGCCCTTTCTGGGGTCTCCCAATTTTGATGGTCAGTGGACCGCAAGCACTTTGTGAGGCCTCACAGCTATTTCGCTTTTACGGGCCCTCTCTAAAATGACTGTAACATATGCGCTCGTGTCTCCAGACGGCTCATTGAAAATCGCATTCCGCATCCGCCACTTTTCTCGGCGTCAGCACGCGACTTTGACTTTATTTATTATCTTAAGGCCTAATCCCGCTCGAAAACAGCTGCTCACAAACAAACGCAGATTGCGGAGGGATTTTTTTTTTTTTTTTTGGGACGTGGCTTTATTTGCACATCTCGCTTTGTTGTTTGGACCCGGACGAGGCTGAGTGAAGTCTGTCTGTCCGTCACAGAACGCCATCCAGGCAGAAGAAGGAGATCCAGATGGCAATCCGCAAAAACAAGGAAACCAACGCCGTGTTGACACGACTCAACAGCGAACTCCAGCAGCAGCTCAAGGTAGGCTGACATTCACCTTTTTCATCGAGCCGTCATGTTGCTTGGGGGATGTGGGAGGACTGATAAGGAAATACACGCCAATCGTGGTTCAGGATTGATCATGACTCGGGTGCTCCCTTTTGATGAAATAACACTCTGCAATGCGAGTCCAAAACTTGCCGACCTGACAGCCAGTCTTTTCTTCCCAAGCACAGCCGTGCGATTTTTCACATTTTAACGTTGTTCCAACACTTCTCGGCCAAACGCGAGAAAGTCCGTCCTACGCTTCGTCGAGTCGGCGCCACTCAAAAGGCGCTCGTCGGTGCCGCCACGCAAGCCTGAGGTCGACGCGGGTCCATGCCAGCAATTTAGCGCTGTTGCATCAAGTACCTCAAAGTGATACTTGAGTATCTTTACAGGAAGCCACTCAAGTAGAAGGAAAGTTACATTGTTACTTCATCAAAAGTGCAGTTGAAATGATTGATTGAATCATTTAAGACAACGTCAAATCTCTACTTGGAAGCTTTGTAGTAAGTGTGGATTCACGTGCCACTGCATTTCAAAATGAGTTGTCGCGATGAGTGGCGGCCAGGTGGAAAGAACATCCGAGAATTTGATGTCCACGCTAATAAATGGTTCTGACGTTCGTTAGCTAATGTACGTACACAGTAATCGCTTGTTTATCACGCGCGGTGGTGGTGGTAGTGGAGGGCGGTGGTTTGGGGGGGGGCTATGTTCCCAAAAGAACGGTAAGTGAAATTTCTGATAGCAAAAGACAAAAAAATCCGATTTAATTCAGTGGTGTGGTCAAATGTTGTCCAATAAGCTAAGTTAGCTAGCATGTGTTAGCCCTGCCACCGCAAAAACTTGGTTTTATTTTAAATGTGTGTATTTTGTTTATCTTATCCGAAATCTACAAAAAAATCCGTTTGAAGCGCAGCATCTGCTCACCTCCTGAGCGCCGCCATTTGTGCGCCATTTCACCGTCGCAATTCTATTTTGTCCTAACTAAGAAGGTTACGGAAACGTGTCATCAAGACAATAATTTTATTTCGGAAATGTGCCAGAGTTGAAAGTAGCCACAAATATACTAACCAAGTAAAGTACAGATACTTAAAATGTGATCAAAGTATAATTAGTTACTGAGTATTCAATTCCAAGACTGCAGTTTATCTGTACGCCCGTGTGCTTGGTACACCTGTCACGTGCCCGCCATTCCTTCTTGTAAACGATCCAGCGGTGAAAGCCTCGGCGCTCTCGTGAGCGTTTGATTGGATAGCGCAACGGCGAAAGGAATGACAGTCATGAGGTCACATCTCCTGCGGGCCCGTTTCTGCGGCGTTCCGCAAGGCTTGTTTGGAATTTGAGAGAATAGCAAGTGCGCGTCTTTATATAGAGACGCGAGCCCGGTGGGAATGCCACACCGGCCGCCGGCATTCTCAACTGTCCACTTGAAAATACGAGACGGCTCATGTCCCAAATGCAACAAATAGCGGATTGGAAACGAGAGAGCTGCGGGTGAAGGCTTCTGCCAAGGCTTTGTCACCTGTTAGAAGCAGGGTTGAGTAGAAGGGGGTCCAAAGTACGGGCCAGGGGCCCGTTGCACACTTTTTTTTTTTTAAATTGTCTCGCCACATGAGCTACGAATACAACGAAACATGGTTCACATCAAGAAAAAAATGTTGAAGGATAGCCCACAAAAATCCACAAGGCATCACATTGGTTTGGAACTTCAAATGTAAAATGAATTTTATTTTTTAGTTCAAAAGCAGAAGCATTTAAAGTGAGAATGACGAAAAACAAACGAAACAAACGAACGCCAGCGCGCACCCAAGGGCGGGTGTTGTGCGTTTCTTGTCGCCAGCGCAGAGGTCATGTGATCCCTCCCTCCTTTTGGCTGCAGGTGGTTCACCACCAGAGGGTCACCTTGGAGACCCAGCTGGACCAACTTCGTCCCGTGGCCTCCACGTCAGCCGGCAGCTAGTTGGGAAATCGAAAGACGTGTGCCCGGCGAATCCGTACAAGTGTTGAAAATCATTTAAAAATATGTTTGGACGAGAAGTGGTACGGTTCGATTTCGGTCCTGAGAGCCCGATCGGGCTTGCGATAGTTTTGTTTGATTGCGTCCAAAGGGGTTCGTACGGGTTTTGCTGTGGCCATCCAATCAGGATGAATTTGCAATTGGGTTGGTTGAAGAAAGTCTCTTTGCTAACATAAGTTATCCAGTTCTTGGAAGAATTGAGATGGACTCTTCCAATTTATTGAATTTGTTGGGGTTTTTTTTTTCTTGTTTTCCGAAAATATACAAAAATGACACAGGCAATTACCGTATGCAATTAGGCTTGCGAAATATTCCAATTTAGATCAGCGCGTTTAAGCTAACATCGTTCATGTTTTTAGCAAGCCGAAATCCGTATCCTGAATTTCAAAACTGCGAAGCAAATGTGCTCGCTGTGCCGTCGTCATCACAAGATGCACGATGACGTTTAATTGATTTTTTTTTTTTTTTTTGTGGGGGCGTTTCCATCGTCAAAATCCGAATTTCTGCCTTGCGCTATCCCACGTCTCGGCACCCTTTCGTTGAAGTGTGAGTTTTCTCGGTTGTTTTGGGCTACTGTCACTTGAATTTTTACACGGCTGACGCAATCCTGATGGCACGTCTAAAACAATCCCGCGGCCAAACGAGCTGGACTACTTTGTGGAAAACATGGTCAAAATTATTTGGGGTGTTGCAAATTGAACTCCTGAGTTACATTTTTGTGTTTTGTTCCGAATTTCGTAGCTTCAGATTTTGTATTTTTACATTTCATTTAGCTCAGCTTCATGTCAAACGTCCCTTTTGTTTTTATCGACTCGTACATGATTATTTCCTGTGTATCTGCCAAACCGTGAAATGCCACGAAGAAGACAAAATGTCGCAAACCAGCACTCGACTCCGAAGTCATGACAGCAGACGTGCTATGCAAAGATCAGGTGCCGCTTTGGAGTCTTCTTATTGTTTCTTCTCACATCGGTTGCGTGTAGAAACGACGGAATGCTTGGGCTGCATGCTCGTGATGTCACGATGATGTCACGGTGATGTCATAACCACTCTATAATTTGTATTGAACTGAAGACTGGAATCAAAGTGATTAATAAAGTTGCTTGTTTTTCACACTTGTCATGTCATATTTTTTTTCATCCCAAGAGGCAAACATTTGGAATATTCCGATGATCTGCAAATTTGGACATTGTTTTTTTTTTTTTGGTTTTTTAGGGGGGGGTTATTGATTTATTTATTTATTCATTTTTTTGGTCGGGATAGGCTCCGGCGCCCCCCTTGCAACCTTTGTGAAGATAAAGGATGAATGATGGATGTTTTTTCATGCTATATAGCTTAAAATATATTTTTAGTTAAAGGGTGCTTTCATCGCAAAAAATATTTAGCTGTTGTTTTAACATATCAATAGAGAGAGGTGCCAAATAAGTCGACTCTTCCGGAGAAGAAGAGAGAAATCTTTTGTTGTTGTTGTTGTTGTTGTTCTTCCAGTGAACCGACTCTGTCCTCGTACAAATGGGAACAGATTCCAAGTTCCTAATGACTTGTTCGGGATCAGGGTCTCTCTTTAGATATGCTGTGATGTATATTGGCCAAGTTCCGAAGCCTCAAGTGACCGCCATCTATTGTTGGCATTCACGCTAATGGGCCTCCGTTGGCGGCTCTCGTCAAACAGCTGGCTTGTTTCTCGAAAGGCAATTAGCCAACCCTCCGATGGCTAATTCAGAGAGCAACAGGAGGAAATGTCAACATGCCGATCCCATCCTGCTTTTAGGGCGACATGGACAGTTAAAACGGCGCAGCGGACGCACGTGGGATGAAAACAGATGTTTTCCAAACGCAGACACAACAAGGCAGCAAAAAAAAAAAAAAAAGTCAAGGGGAGCATTAGCGATGGCCGTATTCCCAGATGCCCCCGCCACCGTTTGTCCCCAATATATCCTCTGACACACTTGGCTCCCTATTAAACACCTCACACGCTAACTGGCTGGCCCGCTAAATGATCAGAGGCTTGCCAACGCGGTCAGCGCATGAAATGATCTGCATGACTTCATCGAAATTTTCACACGTGCTTCCTGTGGAAAAAGTGCAGATGGCGCCATGAGTAAACAAAAGCTCTCGATGTCATTTGATTTGACCACGGCCGAGTGAGTAAGAAAACAAGGGAAATGGCTTCAAATGATTTTTTTTTTTTAGCCCTCGTTGGTCGAATGAATGAATGAAGTCCAAATTCTGTTGTTTCAGAGCGCCTCGTTGTCGGACATGAGTGCATGCACATCGTGCAGAGAAAGACGTGAGAGCGAGAAAGGGATAACTTTTTTTTTTAAATATATAATCTAACCTGACAACCAGCATGTAGACAGACGCTTCTTGCTTGTGTGGCCCTTTCACAGCGCCTCATTGTCCGCCATGAGCGCGGCACGTCACGCAGAGAAAGATGGAACGGGAGGAGGGGTATTTTTTTTTTTTTTTTATATAAAGACTGAGTTGAGAACCAGAGTATGGACAGGAGGCTTTGTGCTGGTGTGGCAGCTAGTCCAACTTGACAGCCCGCGTATGGAAAGACGCTTCACACTTGTATGGCACGTTTCGAGCGCCTCGTTGTCCGAGTGCACACGTCATATAGAGCATTTGTGCAAGAGTGAAGAGCGAGGAGCGGAATCTTTTTCTTTAAAATTCCGACTTGAGAACAAGTGTATGGAAAGGGGCTTCATGCTGGCGTGGTCGCTTTAGAGTGCCTCGTTGTTGCAGGATGAAAAAGCATCTTTTTTTTTTTTTTTTTTTTAATTGTTCACATTTGGCAGGGTTGTCAAAACTCTTCAATTTTCAAGACTAACTTATGTTCACTTTACTGGGCCTCTCCACTAGCGTAGCGTCCGCAGTCGACAGCGCGATGGCGTGATGAACAGCAGGTAGCTGGACCATGAATAGCACTTGCAAGTATTTGCTTGGCATTGCACACGAACAGCTGGGGCTAAATATGACGGCCATTTGTCGCCTCAGAGTTATATACGGGATCCACCGGGGTTAAAATAGTTTGGGGTTTTTCATTCTAGCTAGTTTTCATCTCTTCTTGACCTTTGTTTTTCAAATGTCGTTATCGTTATCAAATCTGCTCTGTTCCATCTCACAGCATGCGGCAATGTGCCTCATTACCGATTTATACTTTTGGGCCAGCAAAGTCCTGACTACTTTAAACGTGATGTAATTCCTTCCCCTGCGTAATCTTCTTGTGGAAGCACTTCCTTCTGTATCGAAATAAGTGTCAGCAGAAAAAAAAGCCAAAGAAAAAGCAAAACGTACCCAATTAATCCCTCAGTGCTCACAGAGCCGAGCGCTCAGATTATCATCTTTTGTGCGGTCAACTTGGACCTTTTGTCCCCCCCAAAGCATGACGACATGGCATCTCTCTGTGGTGCGTCGTGGCGGCCTTTGTCCCCGGCCCCGGCTTTGCAAAGGTTGCATTTCTGCGCTAGCGCTAGCGTTAGCGGCAGACACGAGCGTGGCAACAGGAAGAGCTTTAGCCTGTCAGACGGCCGGGATTTAGATAAACACGCATTCAGCACATCTGAATGAAGAGGCCGCAGCGAAAGATTAACCTCCACACGCGCACAGACGCCCACAGACCACAACACCAACACACCAACAAAATGACCACATGTTGGGGTTTTTTTCCCCCCCAGTACGAGAGGCTCTCTTGCATAAAAATGACGATTCAAGGATGGCACAAGACTGCTCAACAAGAAGCCAACATTAAGTGCGAGAACTCATTTCTACATTTTTTTTCTCAAAAATCAACTCACTCAAAATTTGAATATTATTGAGGTACTATGTTTATCCTTGCATATCATTTCATATATGAAAAAAAAATATTAGGCCTACTTACGTTGTAGTATAGGGCAGTGTAAGTGCAATGAAGACATGTTTAACATCTAGTGTTGAATTTTGATTTTGCAATTTAAAACTAGTCAATGCATATTCACAGTTCTGCACCTGCGAATTCGCATATTCTACCATTATTTTTCCCGATTTTATTTTTTTTAATATTTATATTCTTCTGGGATTTTTTTTCCTCCGAAGAATTGTTTCACATATATTTTTTATTCATATGTCCATCGAGCTCGCTAGCAAGGCACCAGACATCTATTTTAGGGAAGGGACATCCAAATAGGGTGTTGTGTAATTTTTTTTTTTTCGTTCAAGAGTCTCAGAACAAACATTTTCATTTATCTATCTATAAATCCCTCATAAAATAATTTAAATGTGTTTCCATTGTTGCCACATTTTTCTGCCGAAATCTGTGCGCCGTTGTTTTCACGGTGTGACCAAAGACAACACTCGAAGCTTCTTCTAGTTGAGCCCTGTTCTTTCCATTCTACCCATCAACCTTTTTAAAATAAAATAAATCAATAAAATGAGTGAATTTTATTTTTATCGGCCCCAAGTGCTCTCCTCGCGGACCCTTTTCATCGATCTTCGTGTGTTGCTGTGTTTTCCCGGGGTCCGTGAAGGCAGCACGCTGGTCCACTTTTAGTCGAGTCCTGCTCCACCCGATCCGCACCGTGTTTTACCTGCTCCTCCTCTTTGAGTTTTTAAAAACCACCTCTAGTTAGTGTGAAGCTGCTGTGGTGGTGCGGGGGGGGGCGTAAAAAAAGTCAGGCTACATCGGAGGCGGGCAGTCTACAGGAGCGCTTCAGTCCGCCCTCCCAGATGCAACAAGCATGGGGGGCATCTGAAGCCACGCCGAGCGGATCACGGCGGCCCGAGGCGTGGACAGCGTCTGCGCCCACTTTCGCCTCACTTTTGCCGGATTTACGCCGAGCGACATGCCGTTCTTTAAGCGGCTGGTGGAGCCCCGGTCCCTCTGCCGCGTCGAGAGGGGCGAGGAGCGGGAGGAGGGCGACGCGGACGGCAACGGGGGCTCGCCCTTCCACGACCTGCTGTCCGTCACCCATGTGGCGCTGGCTCGGACTCTCCGCCAGCTGTCCGACCTGGCCAAGCACGCCTGCTCGGTGTTCCACGAGCTGGAGGGCGACCTGGCCGCCACCGGCCACAGGCTCCGCGGGCTGCAGCGGAAGGTCGGGCGGCTCCAGGAGACTTGCTGCGAGATGGACCCCAAACAGGAGGCAGTCCGTGAGTACACACCTTCTTCTACTACTCCCAATACTTAAGACGCACTTTCACTGAATTCACCTCACTCGTTTCTTTCAAGTAAGTCACTTTTGTGTGTGTTAAAAAAAGTCGTTTTCAGTCATTTGCTGTTTGTTTTACTTTATGACTGAAATGCATTTGACCCCAGCCCAAAATATCTTTATAAGATACCTACATCAACTTTTTTTTTTTACTCCAAATAACACCGTAAACAATATGATCAAAGAATTTTCCAAGCACCATCGTCCTGACCAAGATTCAGATACTGTATTACAGTGGGCCTAAGTGTTCTTGAAAATCAGGGCTCACGCAAGGGGGCTTTGCAACAATAATGATTAAAAAAAAAAAAAAAAAAAAGACCTGTCATCTTTCACGCTTCAATAATTTTACTGAAACGATGGCAAGGTTTCCACCTAATCACCATGCTGTCCTCCTTTTTGGAACTCTAAATGATCAAAATTCACCGGGCACTGTTGTGTAAAAAAAAAAAAAGTGCAATGTTGATATTTGTAGCTTTTAAATATAGATTGTCTTAAAATGTAACACGGATAAAAGGGGAAAAATATACCCCCATAAATGCTGAGTAAAAAAGTGTTTTCAGTCTAAAAGTTAAATACAACTGAATTGTACTGAGCCCGATGCACCACCCTTTGAGAATCAGTGCTCCATATCCAATTCTAAACTACAGATCTTTTTAAAATGTATACCCTGCATGTCTGATAATAATTAGTGGCCCAAATCTCAAAATTTTTCTAACAATTTTCTCCTCTACCATAGCTTGAAAGTTGTTGAAATGCTTGTAAAAAGTGCTTGGTGGCTCTGCCCTTGGAGCTCACCTCGCTCGTTTCTTTCAAGTAAGTCACTTTTGTGTGTGTTAAAAAAGTCGTTTTCAGTCATTTGCTGTTTGTTTTACTTTATGACTGAAATGCATTTGACCCCAGCCCAAAATATCTTTATAAGATACCTACATCAACTTTTTTTTTTTACTCCAAATAACACCGTAAACAATATGATCAAAGAATTTTCCAAGCACCATCGTCCTGACCAAGATTCAGATACTGTATTACAGTGGGCCTAAGTGTTCTTGAAAATCAGGGCTCACGCAAGGGGGCTTTGCAACAATAATGATTAAAAAAAAAAAAAAAGACCTGTCATCTTTCACGCTTCAATAATTTTACTGAAACGATGGCAAGGTTTCCACCTAATCACCATGCTGTCCTCCTTTTTGGAACTCTAAATGATCAAAATTCACCGGGCACTGTTGTGTAAAAAAAAAAAAAGTGCAATGTTGATATTTGTAGCTTTTAAATATAGATTGTCTTAAAATGTAACACGGATAAAAGGTGAAAAATATACCCCCATAAATGCTGAGTAAAAAAGTGTTTTCAGTCTAAAAGTTAAATACAACTGAATTGTACTGAGCCCGATGCACCACCCTTTGAGAATCAGTGCTCCATATCCAATTCTAAACTACAGATCTTTTTAAAATGTATACCCTGCATGTCTGATAATAATTAGTGGCCCAAATCTCAAAATTTTTCTAACAATTTTCTCCTCTACCATAGCTTGAAAGTTGTTGAAATGCTTGTAAAAAGTGCTTGGTGGCTCTGCCCTTGGAGCCAAACGATCATGATGATACCTAGCAAGCATTTGTGCTTTTTATGATCATCATTCCGAGATTTCTAGAGTTGCGGACGGTCAAGCGAAATGCTTTTTTTTTAGCGCGACGCCGTGATGTCATGTAGCGCATTGTCAACAAGAGAGCGCCGAATGATGCCTGAAGATGAATACCCGCCTTCAAAATGCTTTTTTTCACGTGTGACTTGTGGGAGAGGCGTGTCCGGGCGGCCTTTTCTTCTTATTTGTCCCATTCATGAAAGTAAACAGGTTGAACTCTGCATGGCTGCCGGTTAAGAATTCATGACCCAGATAACACAGCATGTGGCCAGGCCTGGTTCTTTTAAAACCAAGTGCCCCCCACCCCTTATCCCCCACTATGTTAAGGGAGAGTGTTTTTATGTATGGTAAAGCCCACACGCACACAGCAGGAAGCACTTGGGCATCCCTTCGCTGTAGAAGACGCATAACCACCTGAAATTGCCGCTTCCTCGACATCTTGAAAGTAAAATTCCTCTCTGTGTTTACAAACTATGATTATTATTTTTTTTTTTACATTGTCATATAACCTGTGGAGGTTGACAAAAGGGAAAATGCCGACCCGTTTTCATATCTAGAGCGTAAAAGGCAAGGCGGCTTCATTGCTTCGGGTGCACTTTATGTACAAGACAACTCAAATGTGCTTCACACGAGCCAAAGCACGACACTTAAAAGGAAATCGAAAGAGAACAAAGGTCGCTTTGTAGCTTGAGTAAAATGACCGAAAGAACACGCGTTGACACTATTGAAACACATTTGCCAAAGGAAGTTTGAAAAGCGTTCAAAAGCAAAGGAGAGATCTGAAAAGTAGCTTTCGAAACTGAAAAGACCTCCCACTGAAATTGATTTCTGGAAAGGTTTTAACCTGGATTTAAAAGCATTTCTAATTGGAGCTGATTTCACTTCTGTTGGCACACGTAGAATACAATTTGCATGCAGCATAACAGCGAAATGCCGCTTCACCATGTTTGATTTAAAACCTGACCTGGAACCAAGTTTGGACAAGAGTCCCTTAACCAAACGGTTGCCGTGGTCGAAATGCAAAGACGACATGCCCGTTTGAGCTGAGCAAGCCCATACATGTCCACCCCGCAGACCCTTCCACGCGTTTCTTTAACTTCCGCTGCCTCAAGGTGTTTATCTGTCCCCCATTATCCAAATCTTGCCTGAATGGCAACTGAAATCTGACCTGTCATCTTAAAAAAAGTCGTTCCCCATCGTTGTCCTCTGTCACTTTTCTGCATCAATGGCGCCGACACTGATGGGGGTACACCGTTAAATTTGACAATATTTATGGCCGATGGGACAAAAAAAAAAAAAAAAA